GGGCAGCGCTGCCGCCCCAGCGCGCCGTTGCTTTCGAACCGTTGGCCTCGCTTAAATAAAACCGTGTTTTCAGACGTAAACTCGTCAAAAACGCCTGCCTGCACAGAAACCGCGAGCAGCGTTGCCGACGCGTATCAAAAGCCCAGCAACCCCAAAGCCGTGTTGTAGCAAGAGCCATAGCTCAGCCCTACCTCCAGGTGACCCTCCAGTTCCACCCAGCTTTTCTTTTTTCCTTACTGCCAGCATCGCAGGAAAGTAACGTCGTTTTTCCTAGCGCGGTGCAGTTTATCCGTCTCCGTGACTTAGACTGCCTGGGATGAATGGAAAAAACATCTCTTACTCAAACCCGTTGCTCGGAAGCGTGAACCTTTCTCTGCGGTTCTCTAAAACTAAAAATCTTGATTCGGGGTACTGGGAAGAAGTTACTTGCTGAACATCGCTGTGTTTCGATAGGCATACACGTGGGCATCGGCGATCTCGATTTCGGGAGATGAAATTATAACACCGTGGCCCTTGTGAGGCACTGAGGAAAGTAGAGGGCAGCCTGTAGGTATAAACCAGAAAAATCCAGGCTGAGATTAATTATGAAATAAAGTTAGAGTACTCCCTTCCTCAGCAGTTTTGGAGTTCCAATTCAATTGCAAAGGGTTTCTCTTTGCCAGGAAAACCGTGCCCTCACGTCATTTAGCCAAATTGCTTTAATGAGTTTCTTAGCAACAGCAACTAGTTTATACTGTGTTACATGTTTAAAATTTTTCTTCCTTTACAGATAAAACCTTGTTCAGAGCTATCATTTCCTGTGAAGATCTACTTCTGTGTCACTATTTTGTCTCTGCTAAGTGTCATAGGGCTAACCATAGAGACACTCGTTCAACAAACTGAGGAAGATTTCACCATTTCTCTTATTCAGTTAGTTGGAGTTGGTAAGAAACATACCGTCTGTATTTTATAACAAACACATTTTTTCCCAAAGTAGTAGTCAAGCAGCAACTGAAGTTTCTTATTTCACTCCATTTGGCCTGATATGTTACACACAGACTCTTCTGCCAGTTTAGCACTAACAAGCTAGATGCTTTTGCCATTGTTGCTTTTTCCAGCAGTATTTTAGGGAAAGGATCAGTTAAGAGATATGGTGTCATCCAGAATACGTTCACGTGTGAATAGTGTGAAAAAACATTCAGATTTTAGGAAGTTTTGCTATTGTTGGCTTTCTTACTGGTGTTACATTAGGCAGATGTGGCAATGATTTTGCTTTCAGACAGCTGTCACTTTATGTAAGATACACTGAGTGTTCAGCTATGCCAGAAAGAGCTTACCAGTTCCCATTTTAATGTCTGTGCCATAATACGCTGGGGAAGTCAGAGGCGTCCACGCTCCACGGCTTGTCATAGAACGTACATCTCCTGACATGCGCCGGGCTTATACCTGAGTTGTAGTTGGTTTCAAGGCACCTTCTTACATTGCAAAAAACCAAACATACACAGTTTGATCTGAAACAAGAAAATGTTAAGTCACCTCTCTGTGTTAACTTCCTGCAAGGACGTTGCTTCACCTGAAGTATTTTAATAAAATAAGGACCTCATTTTTTTTTTTAAAGCTCTTTTTTTTGACTAATAGTTTTTGTACCACTGGAAGCAAAATCCAAAATTCCTTGGATATTTCCAATTAGAGCTTCAATAGAAACTTATGTTCATATTCCTGGGTCCATTTGTATTAAATAGAAATGAAAGTCAACATGAAAATAAATACAACTATAAGTATTTTAGGAAGTCCTCTTCAGTGGCTTTAGCAGGTTTGGGCTGTTGGCTCGCTGGCCGAAACAGTAGAAAATAGTCCCTCTGTGGGTGTAACACCTTGTGTACGAGAAGGACACACTATTCATAAGCAGTCACTGCTTTCCAGCTTTCGTGCTTTCACCCAGAGGGAACAAAGACAATAGATTTGTTCCAGATTCTATAATTAGACACATACAAACAATACTTTTATTCCAAAGCTCTGGTTTGATTAGCTGCTTTTCACACAAGACTCAGCATACCAACAAAAATTGCAATGTTAGAACAGACCGTTGGTGCCTCCAATCTGTCACACTGTTTTTGTTAGCAACCACTGCTTTCTGCTTCAGAGAAAAATGAAGAACCTTCATAATAAACCAAATGAATCACATGATGTTATAAATGGGGAAGTCGAAAGCATGCTTGCTAATCTATTTTTCCCCCTCCTACCTTCTGCTGATACTAATTGGTATTCTATGCTGCAGCACACACACGGAAGAAGTGCATGCCTCTCACAAACCTCTGGTTTAAATCAGGAAAAACAGTGTATTTTTAACACATTACTTCAGATTTCAGAGTTTTAATGTAAACAAAAGTTGTTGTTTCAACGTACTCGTCAGTAAAGATAACATCATTCAACGTACTCGTCAGTAAAGATAACATCATTCAAGGAACATTTTAAAACCATTATTGGCTTACCTTGAGATTTTAAGATGTGTAAGCTAACCTCCATAAACAGGCCAAACCCATAGATTTTCCATAGCGTAGACAAAGACTGACAGAACCAGTAAGAGTTCTTTAAAGAAAAATAGATGCCCTGGCTGTAACAATCTCTTGGATTTACCACTAGAGATACTGACTTTAAAGAGGGTTTGGGATTTAATTTGTTCAAAAATGTTCACTTACCAAAAACAAGGGGATGTCCTTTATTTTAAAAATGCGCATGTGCTATCTCTGCAAAAATCTTAACGCTCAGAAAAAAGTTTGTTTTCAAATTATTTGTACAGACTTCTTCCGATTTAGCAGCTGAATTTGCAAAACAAGGAAATACTGTCTTAAATCTTCCAGGTGTTTCTGAGGTCAAGAGCACACAAAAAAATCGCATGATTCACTTCGTAGTCTGCCAATCCTTTTCAGTTTTCTCAATCACTGTTAATAAAAGTGAAAAAGGAAGTTTATTCACTAGAAGGTTTGTTTAGAGAGACCGAAGTTATTATGTTACTTTGAAAACTTCTACAACACTTTGTCCCCCGTGTCTCAACCGAGCGAAACTGGACTCTTTGATGTGCGGAATCCAGGAAGTAGCCCTCTGGAAAAAGAAATCTATTGTTACTTTGTCTATGCAAGAATTAACTAGTGTGTGCAGGAGCATCCTATGTAAGAATAAAGCACTGATTCCTGTTTTTATGAAAGGAAAGCCTTTTCCTTATTTAAGCCTTGTCAAAACAGATGTGTAGAGTCCAACAGTGACAGCTAACTGTGGTGTTAAGAGTGGTGGGTTTTGATGTATTTTATAAAAACATAACTTAGAACTTTCCCGAACCAGTTCTTTTCTGGACTACAGTTTGCAGGGTGGGGTGTTTCAAAATTTCCACAACAAAAATAAACTGTTAGGAATCCAGTCTGTCTGAGTTCAATTCAACACACTAGCCATTTGTAGTGGTCAGAACCACACAAACAATACTGTAGAGGTATGTGTAAGAGTAGTAAATTCCTTGTTAGTCACTTGAATTAGTCTCACTGGGAAGATTATGTCATTTCAGTTCTTCAATAAAAATGGTGTTGCTTCATTTAAATCAAATACACTATTCAACATAGTGTTCAATATAGTATTAATAGAATAACATACCACAGCTGCCAGCTAATTTGGATAGCTAATACGTTGCCATTTTCAAAGTGTTACTTCACAAGTAATTTAAAAGTCTAACAAATTATTTCATCTCTTGTATGCTGAACACAGGAGAGAGTACTCATTTTAAGTATCTGATTCAGGCTCCTTGGTAAGAATAAAGATACGTTCTTGACCGGAGAGCCTAAGTTACACGGTCTTGATACTTCCATTTTGTCATCTGGATCAAGCATACTGAAAAATTGCACGACGTGCAATCTGTGTTTACCTGGTAACTGACCTTTCCTTCTCCTTCCCAGTGTTCTGTGTATACTATGTGACTAGAGGAATCCTGCAGGAGAATCGCCAGGAGCTCATCGTCTTTGTTCTTTCCATCTTGCTAGTGATGTTTCGTTCCGTTGTCAACTTCACGGTTCTCTCTGCTGAGCAGAAGCCGAAACTCCTGGTTAGTCTCCTGGCTTTAACTTTGCTTTTCTCCACATCTGGGATTTGAAAATCTTAGAAAGGCAAGATATCTGTGATAAGGGCACTGATAACAGAGAAAAATCAGGCTGAATTATTCCTACCATTGAATAACAAAATGTGCACCTCCACAGTTGCAAATCTGTTTCTCTGAGCTATTCTATGGGTTTCTTTATGGCAGTATTTGAAAGTAACATAAATATCGAAGTATTTTACTCACACAGGATTACCGCAGAAGATATCCTTCACTTCACCTACTCTGCTTCAGATTTCCGTCTATAAAACGACTGGCCTAAAGTCATATAAATCTAGCCTATGAACAGAACTGGAATCTCAAGTCTATATGCAAGGACACAGCCATTAGCCCCGCTGCTCCATAAATGCAGCAACGTGTTTTTGAGAGAGTTATGGTAACCTGCTGCAAGGAAACAAAAAGATACAATGTGCTAGGGGAGGTGCTGCCATTCCAGATTATCTTGTTTGCATTTCGTAACAATAAAATGTAATACAAGGACTGTATTCTATGCGATACTAAGATTTGTAGTTAAACTTCCGTTTGCTGTGCTTTGCAGAAGTCCTTCCCATTTGTGGTCACGCATTTACCAGAAATGTGAGAAGGAGGTTCCTTGCTGTGAAGTCATCCAAAAACTATTGTTCCATAGAAGAGGTGGCAACCAAGCTAGGAAGATGCAGCAAAGCAGAATTTGCCTATTCAATTCACGCATCAATTGTACATTTAGTTAAAACATACTTATCTACAGCAAACTGGGTTGTTAGGGTCAATAAGAACAGGCATCAGAGAGATGCAGATTACTTTAAGGTATGCATCCCAGTCATCGGTTTATATATATATATTAAACAAGAACCTCAAACTAAAGCCTGGTGTAGACGATGTACTATTACAAGGACTTATTTTTACTACTATAAAAGTAACTTGGATTACTGTAACTCTTACTTCCTGAGCAAAATTTCTGAGACAGAATAAGGAATACTAGTACAAATATTCTCATACCACTGTAATTATGAAGGATGTTTTGCCACTTCAGCCATCTTTAAAGCAGCGGACATTTAGTGTGAATGCCAGCAAAGTTGTGGATACAACCCAGACAAAACCAATGTTTTCCAAAATTTAGTAAGTACAGCATTCAGAAGAACCCGCTGTCCCCATTGAGATCAGTGGGGAAGATTCTTACCAGTTGGTTTACGCCACACAGGAAGCTTAGAGCCAGTCTCTGTCAAAGAAAGCTGTTTCTTCAAACTATGATAAAACCTCAAGCAAAACCTTGCTAAAAGTCATCCTGATATTACAGGAAGTGCAAAGGTTATGTTTCTCTTAACAGTTGTAGAACTACTACATTGAGGGTAATGTAAACCAAAATAGCCAATGTGAGTTTACAATTATTACCAAGTGGTTGCAACAAATGGCAAAAATCATGGCCTGATCTTTGCCACTTTGTTAACAAAGTGTGGCAAACTGTCATCTTTAATTGTTGTCTATTTAAAATGCTATTAATAGGCAGCCTGGTTCTCCTTACTCCTTTATTCTTTTATTACCAGTTAGAAGATTTAAGGTTAAAGACTGTTCCTGTTTTGGCATGGCCAGTCACATCCTTATTTCTCTTTCCCGTCAGGCCCGCTTTGTTCTGATCCTCTTGGTTGGCTCCTTCGATGTGATCTGTGCTATCATCCTCATTCAGAGTCAAAGCATGATGGCCTTTCGAGTGGGTGGTGCTCTAGAAAGCCTACAGTCACAATACTTCATGCTGAACCTCTGCTTTTCCATGTTGACCTTTGATCTTCAGGCGCAGGTATAGAACTCTCTCCCCCGGGTTCCCTTTTTTCCCTCCTATTGAGAATATCTTAGAATTAGACTAGCTGAGCTGAACTATTAACTTCCTAGAGCGATCCTGCCTGTATCTTACCTTTTAGATAAAATTAGCTTAGTAACGGTCATCTCTCCATGTGTTTGCTATAGGGAAGCTTAATTAAAATCCCTAAAAGTGAATCAACATATATTTTATCCTTGTCCTGCCCAAAAGGAAAACCGAGTCTGATTTTTGGGAAGTATGTCCATAAAAACAATTGCATCCAGAAGCTCCAACCCAACATGGCCTCCTAAAATAAGAATGATTGTCACTGCACAACATCTCAGCCTACAGCCTCTTGCTTTCCAGCCATCCTAGCTGTCTCCTACATTTGAGAAAATGATACTGCGATGGGAGAGGGGAGCCTGACCTAGCAGGGCAATCAGGGTGAGATAGCAACCTGCAGTTACAGATAAGTGAAGTGAACCCAAGAACTGTTTAGAAAGAGTTTGAACTTCTGTACACTACCCTTCATTCTTACTTTACTACTGTATTACCCTGTATTACCTTATGCTTTATCTGGAGCACATCTTACTGCCTTCCCTGTTCTTTGTTGTTGCTAATATGGCATACAAGGAAGTACGTCTGTCCTTGTGTCACGTCTCGTACTGTCTGTCAGGTTTTGAGGAAAAATTTTAGCCTTTAGACCTGTGCCCAACTTACTGTTCCTGGGAGTTTGTGTCAAATATTTTTTGGTGGGCTGTGTGGTCTCAAACTAATAATTTTACCAAATCTTTGCCTCTTCTCTTTCAGCTCTGTTTGTGTGTTCTGCTGATAAGCCTGCATGGGATCACCCTTCTACATAACATCATCTCAGCAACAGGGGTTCTTTGGGCCTGCCTGAAGGTGACCATTAGCATCATCGCAGTAAGTGTTAAGCTAACAGCAACACTAGCACGAATAGTCAACTTCAGAGACTACAAGTTCTCACTCTGAGCAATTATCACAGGCTGGGAAGTCACAGCCATCCCATTCTATGCAATACTGCTAAGTCGAAAGGAGCCAGAATGGATCCCAGTGGAAGACAAGAGCACCAACAATAATGAAGTCAGGTTTCTTATAAATCTGTGTCGCTCAACTGAGCATACAGAATGAAACAATGTCACACTATCATTATTCCTTTCTGAGGGACATTGTTTTTATTCTCAGTCCTTGATCACCTACTTTAATGAAACCTATAGGATCACAATATCTTTACTATTTCTACCTCTCTGACAAGGTTAGGTGAAACTGGCAACAGTCTTCCAAATTATTATGAAGATGGATATACAGACACAGTGAGACTGCATAGGCCTTATATCCTTAGGAAACCACACCAAAAAGATGAGCAGTCCTTTATTGGGGCAGCTTCTTTAAAGGCAAGTGACAGTTTTCAGGTTAACATAAGGATTTGTGAACTTGAAATGCAGTTTTTCATGTCAGTCAGACTGAACTTCCTCTGAAATCTTGAGAGCTCTGTTCCAAGAACGATTGCGGAATCAGGGCCAAAGTACATCAGATACGCGAGTCTTTTATTACCAGGAAGGAGTTTAGAGGGTTTTGGGTTTGTTGGTTTTTTAGGCTCCTTGGGTGTTTGCTTTAGCTATTCAGACAAGTTCCTGACAGCTGAAATACAGCTTTCCAAGTGTTTTGATTGCTTTCCTTGCTAAAAATGGAGCTAGCACCAAGCACTGTGCTTTTAAAATACTTAGGTGAATAGTTGCACAGAATCATCTTTCTCCTGGACTTTGGAGTGTCGTGGCCACTAACAGCTACCCAGCAGGGAAAAAGGAGACAGGACTGACTGTGAGTGTGACAATTAGGAATGCAGGTAGGGATGTTATAGCTTGGTTTCCCCCTAGGAGCTCCTTATATACCTTTGTGA